GGTTCTTTAAATATTAAAAGGCAAATCGTATATAAGTGATTGTTTTATTAAAATTATTGTTGTTTTGAAGTCAATACAAAGAATTTATTATCTATCTTTAAATATACATTATATTAATCCATTACTGTAGTAATTTTTTTTATTTGAATACTCTAAAATAGAAGGCGCGGATTGTATTTTTTTACTTCATGAGAGATTTATAAATACAGTAATGATATTGAAACTGAATTTTGAATGTTAGAGTTTTACTGTTTGAATATAAACATGAACACCTTTTTCTAAAGTTGTTTTCACTATTCCCGTCCTCCAGATACTAAGACGATACTTTTAAACATTCTCATCATGAGCCAACCGGATGGCTAAGGCAATTCAAACAGCCACAGCTTTGGAGGACTCGGGTTCGAATCCGGATGGTCAAAAACCTCCAGAAATTTTTCTGGAAATGGTTTGATCTGGATGTCGGTCCCCGTTTTTCATCACGCAGATGTCCCATTATGTACCTGGCCAAACCCATAATGCGTCTGAAAAAAAAGGCCTTCTTAGTTCCTACTGAGCGGAAAGAACAAAAAATTTGCATTATGAATTCGATCGGGCCCAGAATCGAGGTGGCCAGCTGTTAAAGAACTGAAACCAGTATATCCAAGACCGACTACCTATGAAAAATGTGGCTCCTAGAATCGAAGCAGAAAATAGACGGTAGGCTGGCGCCTTTATCGTCCCTACCATCCGGTCCATCCAAAGCGTGATAGTTTTAAAATTCTCGACGATCGGATGGCCGAGGCGATTATGCTACTGTTCCAGTCGAAAAGTTAAGTTTACCCAAACGAGGACAAAACCGAGTTTCAAGATTTTATTTTTTCCATTTTTAACTCTTTCCCTTCTGTGACTCCAAGGGCCTTTTTCCGCATTCTTTATGGATTCGGCCAGGACCACAAAGTGAATAGCCGGTAGTAAGTGACAAAATCCGACATATTTGGAACTAACTGCCAATAAAAATTCTTGAAGTATTGCTCATTCGGATTCGATTCCGGTCCTCTAGAACAGTGTTTCCCAACTGCCGGTCCGCGAAAAAATTTTACCAGTTAGCAGAAAAATATTTGACCGTATAGACACTGGCGCAGTTGATTACGGATGACATTTAAATAGTAATTTATTGTTATATATTTTATTACGTACAGTAACTCCAGATAAACATATGTAAACGTAATAGATTAACACAATTCTTAATCTCAAATAATTACTGGTCCGTGTAAAATTATCCATAATTTTACCGGTCCGCGATGAGAAAAAGTTGAGAAACACGTCTCAATAATTTCAATGTAGAAATATTTATCGATGAAAAATGTAATATAATGTTTTACATAACTTTTTATTAAAGCTAATAGTACAGTAATAACAAAACAGTCGTTTTTTTCGCACTCCAGTATTTTTGAGATTATTATAGTCGCTATGTATTATACAGTAATAATTTTTTTATTGAATAATATTTCTTTAGTCTGAAAACTTTACAGATTTCTTGTCATATATACAATGTGTATTCTGTTTTATTTATTTCGAAATATTCATTTTATTTAATTTTTATTTTTTTTATTATCAGTCAATGATTTTAAATTGATTTTGAATCTTAAAAAAAAGTTAAACGTGATACGTAAACATTGTTTTCCAGTTAACCTTTGAAAGATTACAAAGAACAGCTCTACCCAAATTTCAAATGAATATGAAATTTGTTTATTAAATTTGAAATTATGTAGTATACACATCATCATTATATTTAGCAATAATCTATATACCTTGAGAAAGCACTTGTAGAAAAACTGGAAAGAAATATACCAATCACACTACACCTTACACACTTTTCCAGCACTATTTTAATCAAACTAAACGTTTTCGACACGTTTAGAGTTAAAATAGTGCTGGAAAAGTAAGGTGTAGTGTGATTAGTATATATGTTGATTTAATTTTTTAATTTATATATGTGCATCAAAATAAAAAATATTAATTAACTGTTTGGGTCTGAAATGATCCATGTATATTTTACTTCACATACACCTTGTACAGTAATTTATTTCCTTGTTTCATAGTTCAGTCACTTGCCATACTTGTCTAGATGTGCTTATTTCCCCTTCTTAATGAACATTTTTTATAATTATTTTTTTCATTTTGGAATAGTGTTTCTTTTATGTAGAAAATGAAATGTCAGATTTGGGTGATACTGTACTTCAAGAATTATTATATGTTTATGATATTGATTGAAACATATTATCATTTATCAAATGTGATATATTAATTTGCGTGTAATGCATATGCACTGCATGCTAAAATGAATTATAATTAAAAGTTTTGTTTTGGATAAAAGAATATTGTTTTTAGAAGCATTCAAAGCAGCATTGATTAAACCATATATTCAAAGTAGAAAATACATGCCAAACAAACAATAGCTACAGACATTGTTAATAATAAATTGCTAAAGTCTGATTAACTGTTGGTCAACACTAACCTTCAACACCTGAAAATTCAAGAAAAAGAGTAAGATATACAGCATGCCTTACAATAAATATCAAAAGCATTTTACATGTAAAAGACTTAAAAATGCTTTTAAAAAATATACAGACTTTTGTGTTATAACATTCTCATTTCATTTTAAAATATCTCATACTTTAATTCTTTTAACGTGTTGAACTAAATATAAATAAAATGTTTTATTCCAGTTTTTTTTGTCCTGGAAAATAAGGGTATGTTAAAATAATATTGGAATATTTTTGAAATGATAGCTTCAACTTAAACCATGGCTATTCTAATTGACAGCTGACTGGTTCATTCAAGTAGTGTAGAAATATTCATATTTCAGTTTCTAATACAATATAGTTTACAGCTCTCTTATGTTGCTCAAATAAACACAGTACATTCTTGCTGATCAGAATCTCAATTATTTGGAATATCCCAGTGTTTGTGCATTTCATTTCCATAAAAATATAGTCATGTAAATCCTGTTTATTCAGGTTTCATTTTTGTATAGGGTATTGCATATCAGAGTGCTATATTAGTTTCTGCCTTCCTCCAAAAAGAATCAGTACCAAAAGGCAACATATCAGATCATTTATTGTCTTTGAGGAGGCTTTAGGACTACTGTATATGCTCTCACTATATAATCCACACTCATGCTATACTGGCAAGGAGTGGCCAGATTAGCAAGAGTCTAGCATATTAGATTTTTAAAATAAATCTGTGAAATAATTTCTCAATAAAGACTACCAGACCAGATGCACTTTGAAGAATATATGCTGTAGCATTATTTGAATAACTTGTATAATAATTGAATATTTCATTATGTAGGATGCAATAGGATTAAGATATAGTAAGAAGTTAATTTTTCAAAGACTTGTAGCGGCTCTTCTACTGTTGTTTTATTTCTGTCACTGAGTGTGATAAAATGAACGAGACAAGGTTATAAAACCTGTTGCTAACCATCTCACTGGCCAGTTGGACTTTGGACTCGTTCTAGCTAGTGATGACACCACACGGGATTCATTGCCTGTTTTTTTTTACAAAGGTCAAGATGGAGAAGGTGGCCGTTTTTCCACAGACTATNCAAAATGTTTATTATAACAAACATTTTTGTTCATTTTAAACAGACATCTTTTCTACATTAAGCTTATGTAACCTGAAGAGGTTACATAAGCTTAATGTAGAAAAGAATATTACATTGAACAACAAAACAAAGTTTAAATTAAACCTGTAAAATCAAAACCATTCACACTTTTCCAGCAAATAGGTTTAATAAACAAACATACAAATGTTTTAGGTTTATTTTATAAACCTACTTTAGGTTTCAGACTGCAAAATTACTAAATACAGAATTTTATGGTTTGAAACCTGAGGCAGGTTTATAAAATATACCAAAAAAACTTGTATATTTGTTCATTAAATCCATTTGCTGGAAAAGTGTGAATGAGTTTTGATTTTAAAAGTTATCTGTTCCAGCTTTGATTTAGGATTTTAAATTAAATCTTTAAAAAAGATGAGCTCAGACATGTGCCACATAATATTCATATATCCATACAGAGAAATAAATAAATCATTAAAAAGTAACAAATTAGTTGTTTTTTTAACAAATATGTCACAACACAAAGTGCATAAGTGAGCTCATATCAAGTTCTCCAAAATGACTGAGAGTCATATTCATTTTAATTGATGATAGTGAGATTTCTGATGACCCTATAAATTTCTAGACATTCCAAGTACAGTATTTTAATCATGCAGAATCTTCCATGGTGTAACAATCTTCTTTTATCAAAAATAACCTGGACATCTTCATTACCAGCACGTGTAGCTAATGCTGTGTTAGACATTTTTTTTCCTAATGTTATACATATTTTCTTTGATCCTTGAGGTCAAGTTCTTTGCCATAGATCAACATATGCCAATACACACTTTATCCTAGAAGCATGTAGGGAAATATCATATAACCCAGGCAAGAAGAGATCCTCAACATGTTCTTTGTCATAATCAAGGAGAACACTCTGGGCTTCTCCTGTATGTCAGTTTGATATTAGTAGCCCTTGCAGTTTCTCTATAGATGCTAGGTAATGTGTCATTGTAAGTAATGGCTACAAATCTCCCCTCTTGTTACTGAGAGGGGGGCCTTGGGCTTAAATGGATCTTTATAAAACTGATTTGGTATAAAAGTGTTCTTATGTATACTCCTGCAGTTTTTGAAGTGTTTAAATTCTTTTACTAAAAAATATTTTAATAATTATTTTATATACATTTTTTAATTTTCAATGATTAATATAATTTAAAATGTTTAAACCTAAAAAAAATATCTAAAAGATTCATGAATATTTGAAATACTTTATACAGTCAATATAAATATTGCCTTATAAAACATAATAAATGCAATGTATTATATAAAATGTATTTTTATATAATATTTTATGTAATACATTGCATGTATTATATTTTAATACATTAATTATAAAATACTCAAACATTTAACTTACTAATTTTTCTGATAATGTTGTCTTATCCTTTTTTGGTAAATGTTCTTCTAAAGCCAAAACTACACAATTGGCAATAATAGTTAATAAGACCGTATATTCAAAAGGAGTGAAAAATAGTTAAGGAAACGAATACAGAATATATAATCATTAATAATAAAAATATGTTATTATTATATAATAACATATTTTTATTATTATAATTACAATCTTATATTATTATAATTATAGTGGTAATTTGAAATAGGACAAAAACATGTCTCATGTTAAGCTCTTCAAACTATTAGTTCCATTTGAAATAGATAGTAGAATAAAACTATCATCATCTTGTAAATATATAACTTATTATACTATAAAACTGCTACTACTGCCATTTTCAAGTTACCAATTTAATCAATTATATAATCAATTTATATTAATAGATAAAAGTCAATTGTAAATCTACTATTATTTATTTATTAAAAAATTTAATAATTCTTGATTATATTAATATTAGTGTTATTTTAATAATTATTATTTAACCCAAAATATTTTAATAAAAATATTAATTTTAAATATATATAATCAGAAAGAAACAAATGAAATATTACTGAATCATTAATTAATAAAATATAACATCTTCAGTTCCTTGAATCCAGACTATTTTAGATCATTTTTCAAAATTCTTCATAGAAACGCTCTAAAATTAATACAAAACTCATAACCTGTAACTTTGAAAAAGGTTAACAGCAAAAATTTTAATTGAAATGTAATGGTTTGACAGTTTTGATAGAATTCTCTAGTGCAAGGCATACAAAATGATAATAGCGAGGTTGCAGCCAAAGTTTTCAATGAGAAAACGTGAACGTTAGATGTTCAGTGCCGCCATCCTGTGAGCTTAGAAATTTGACAAATGGCATTTGGAACATCGAGCATGATTCCAGTGATATTCCAAATGCCATTGTCAAACTTCTAGGCTCACATTTTCGCATTAAAACAGTGGGGTAGTGGCCAAAGTTTTCATCATTTTTTAACGATTTATTTTATTTTATTATATCTATTCTGTACTTTTGATCACTTTCCACTCATTATACTAAAACAGTAGAGTGTAGAGCAACAATTTCCAAACATATCATAGGATTTTGACTCCAAGCTGAGTCACCAACTCTTCTTATGTGGTTGCATATATACATTTTCATACACATTATTCCTTTGCTTAGAAAAATCTTTTAAAAATATCAACATTTGATTGAAAAAATGAGAAAATCAACAACAACAAAAATTAGTAGATTTATGTATGCTTATTAACAATTTCATTCTAATACAGGGAAAAACAAAATTATAAAAAAAAAAAAATACAGTTGTCCCTTGATAATCCGACAGGTATGGGACCAAAGGTGTGTCAGATTACCAAAAGTGTCCGGATTACCGAAAATAATTACATATTTCGCATTGTTTTGCTAGCAGTAACTTACAATATTCNTATATATATATATATAAAGAATATAATATATATTAAAAGCATGCATATATATTTTTCCTTCCTAGCAGGGCTGTGGAGTCGGAGTCGTGGAGTTTTGGTGTTTTAGCTGGAGTCAGAGTCATCAAAAATCTGCCGAATCTGACTCCTTTTTACTTACCAACTTGTTATGTATATAAAACAGAAAAGTATTGGAATTGTGTCAAATTTGACCCTCCAAGTTTTTTTTTTTTTTTTTTTTTTGCAAATCTACACGTTTGGAGACCTCACAAACCCCTCAAAAAAGTCAATAAAAGGGGAAAAATTCACACACACGTGTGTGTTAACGTCTAATTTGTTTAATTTCTTTATTTTCTATTCTGAGATATTAAACAATATCTCAGAATGGGTAAAGTTTAAGAAATGAAATGTGGCACTGTAGCTTGCATATAAAGGGGCATTAATATTATTAAATTTTGGTTCCTAATTAAAGGTCAACAGGGTGAAGACATAAAAGGGGTCATGTGTCATATCTCTTAATGAATATTTTACTTGTTATTAGCGTTCAAAATTTAAAAAAATAAAATAAAACTCGTCTCTACCCTCAAAGTAAGCTTTTTTGTCATTTTATAATAGTACAGTAAAGCCCGTTAAGATGTTCTCGCCTAAGATGTTAGAATGTGTATGGAGACACGATTTAGTTCAACCACTTTGACGCTTAATAACTAACTTCTGTGTTAAACCATCTGACTCCGATTCTGACCACTTTGACCACAGAAATTATTAGGCTTCAAACAGGGTGAACAAAATCATGCCCCCCACACAGTTTAACATCCACGCATATAGAAAAAACCTTGAATCTTTTGCTTAATTAACTAGAAATTTCAAGGTGTTCTGAGTCCAAAAATGTAAAAATTTGGGAGACGTCATTTTTTGACCGAGCGCTACACTTTGTTATATATCCTCTGTTATATATAACAGCCAGAAAAGTAAAAATTATTGAATACATATTTATATATTACTCAGAAAAGTCTTTTAGCTTTGAAATAAAAAGTTTCTATGTTCTATCTTTATTAGAACTCTATTTATTGAATCTTTTATTCTGAGGTCACATAATGACATCAGAATTTCCGGGTCTCTTTCGGTAACTAGTCCGCCCCTGGTCAGAGTCGGAGGGTAAGGAAAAGTCGGAGTTGGAGTCGGTAGATTTTATGTGACTCCACAGCCCTGCTTCCTAGTCTTTTTCAGTCTACATAATTTATAATATATTTGATTATTTATTTGTAGGACTATGTTTTTCTTCTTGAACTTCAATTAAACAAGTTATTTGTACAAAGATCCATTACCAACTATAAATATTAGTTCTAAAAAATGGCATGATTAGGGTAAAATTGCAACTGCCAAAACAAAGAATCTATGTACAATAAATAGTTACACAAAAAAGGATAATAAAGGCTCTGAATATTTGTTGTAAAATTAAACGTTTTATTATACATCAAAAATGCAATAGTAAAACAAAAATTTTTATAGAGTGCAAGAAATGAAAAAAATTTTAAATCATTTGAAGCTAGTTGTGAAGTATTACAACTCTTCTTAAAGAAACCAAGACTGGTCATTTTGTTTTTCAAATCTTTTTGAATTTCTTTATAGGGCACTAACAATGCTTCAATCCTCATTTAAAGTTTAAGAATGCATTTGATGAACATGATCAATGGTTATAAAATAATCCATATGGTCATAGATTATTGGTAATAGTGAATTAAAAGAATATCATCATTTCTGATACTTATATTTCTAATGATTACAAATAAGATTTTTAATTTTTATTTTTGTTGATTTTTTCTCATTTTTATATATTTTTTACTTGTCTATGGTATTTTACATGTTTTAACTGTCTTATGATTTTAGTCTATTCATGTGTTTTTATATATCTTTTTTGTGCACATAGTGTTTTACACATTTTTTTGTATCTTTTTAGCTGTGTTGTTTTTTACACTTATATATATCCTTTTTAAAAATGTTGGAATTTTACATGTTTTTATATTTTTCTTTTTACTGTTCTTGAGGTATTGTTAATCAAGGGATGGAGATCAACAGCCAATTGGCTTTTCCTATTTGTGATGTAATAAATAAATAAATAAATTATATATATATGTTACAGTTAGTGACTAGGGAGACTTGGAGTAACGTAAGTAACCCAGATGAGATGACTTAGTTCTATTGGATATTGGAAGGGTATATGAGTATGAGTGAATTGTAGAAGAAGAAGAAAGGTCGACAGGTTGCACACAGTATCGGCAGGTAAAATTAATAGTTCACCCAGACAGTGAGTCAATTCCCGGACTGTCCGGATGGTAACACTATTTCCCGTGTTCATTTCAATCAGTCCGAATCGTAGGTGCAATGAAAATATGGAACGAAATGGTTCAAATTTTTACAAGATATTATTATTTNAATTATTAATTATTTATATATATATAAAACATTAATAGTTGTATTATTCTGATCACTTTTTGTTGTCTTACTTTGTATGTTTTGTACTAGTGCACTTTTCCCAAAAAACAGACTATCACACTGGATTAAACATGAAACAGAATGACCTCGAGAAATAATTTGTAGAATACTTGTATGTATTTATTTTATGATATTCATTTCAGACTTAAAAAGTCCCTCTTCAGTTGTAATGCATAGATCTTTTATATGAGCCAGAGAGAAACACACTCAAAGGCAAAGGCAATGTAGATATGTAAGAAGGAAGTTGTTAGTAAATTGTATTAAGAGTATAACTGTACTGTAAATTCATTATGGTTTCATCAAGTTTTCTGGCGATTGCATTGAATTGTACAAATTTTTATTCAATTTTATGTCCTGGTTAAAATGTTCTTATTTAGTGGAGTTTAGTTGCATGTGTATACATGTATTGAAGTTTTTATGTTTTAATTATGAAATTAGTAATGTGTATGCATATGTCTACAAATCATAAAAAAAGATCTATGTATTAAGACTGAAGAGGAACCTTTTAAATCTAAAATGCATATCATAAAATACATACATAATTATTCTGCAAATTGTGTCTCAAGGTCATTCTGTTCCATGTTTAATCCAGTGTAATAAGTCTGTATTTGGGGAAAGTGCACTAACACAAAAAATACAAAATTAATAGTTGTTTTGCTTTAAAATGCAATATAATTTATTGGTAATCAAAATGTTAAATAAATAAAATATCAGAGTGTTATAAAAATTTTTGTAATATTTTCATTAACTCAATTCTTAGCATAAATTGTATTATTTCAGAGCCATAGTGTGTATATATATAAACACTCACAGTTGACAAAGGATTCTTGTATGTTTTGAACATTTAATTTTGTAATTTTCACATAAATAGATTGAAGTAGAAATACAGAAGTTAAATTAAGATTGATATAATGACAAGAGAGTCAGAAAGTATATTTGATAAAAGAATGCCAATAGAATTAAAAAAAACCATAATATAAATCATATTGTTAAATGGAACAAAAATATAGCCTGTAAGAGAAAGAGAAAAACAATTGGTAAAGTGAATAGAAATGAGAATGATGAAATGAATAATGAGATCATCATCAAGAGAAAAACTGAAAATGAGAAAATTGAGACAGAGAGCATAATAATTAGTAGTATTACAGAAAAAAACATCAAAAGAAACAAGGTTAAAATGCTATGACTTCATAATGCATTA